AGTCAAGTGTGGTAAAGCTAAGTGTCGTAGAGTCAAGTGTGGTAAAGTCAAGTGTACTTGACTCCACGTATTCTCTATGTATTTTCTCTGCGAGGCTCCGCACGGAAGAACCCTTCGCGATGCTTTCGGGAATAAGGCTATAAGGCCCTATACTACGTAAATAGAGCTGGCCGCATGCAGACACGCTCTATGCGGATGGAGCTCACTGATGCAAGGTTCGCAAGAGAGCTGAAAAGATGTGTGCAGCCTGCTTTCAGAAGCATAACCTGTACAACACCCTGAGGGCAGGCAATCGAATCTCGCCCAACATGGTGCCTTACGGCCTCTCAGTGGACTGGCCATGATTGGCTAGGTCCACGGGATCACCTCTTCGACAAAGAGAAGCCGTCCCTCTGCAGCTTCATGATGGCGACAGCCGTCACGGAGACCACTGGCAGAAGGCACACCGCAGGGTGGTCCAGCAAAGTCCGTGCTCGGCCCGCCTTCTTGCCCTGTGCTCTGTCCCTGTATGTCGCCTGTGAGGGCATGATCTCCAACGCCCGGCCCACTTTCCGCGTGCCGAAGACACAGTCCCAAAGACCGCCTATGGAGCTGAAGGTGTAGTTGCACCCTTTGTGGCCTTCGTGATGCCAATCGTGATGGCGGGGCATCTGCGCAAAGGGAAAATACCTCTGCAATTGGTGGGCCAAGTTGAACCCACAGCTCACACCAGAGTGCTTCTCCAGGCTCTCGAAGATGCGGAAGATGTGCGAGAACCGGAAGGAGGGCCTGCGCACAGAAATGGCCCACGACGGCATTGCCGAGGTTGTCCAGCCAGTGGTCGTCGTAGGTGTTGCGGGACAGCGGGTGCTTGGCCCAGTGGTGGTAGGAGTGGATCTTGTCCCAAAGGAACGGAACCACATGAAGAGCTCGATGCATCCAGTACATGCCGAAGGACATGAGGTAGTGATTGGCTACAAGACGAAGCATACGCTCATGAAGCGGTGCCACGTTGCCAGCCGGTGGGTAGTAGCCGGGAATAGCATAATAGAGACCCACGTTGAAAGCGAACTGGCTGAGCAGGGTTAGACGATCGTGAAAAAGGATGGTCTGCAACTGCTCCATGTCCCTACCACAAAGGTCTCTCTTCTCCTTCAGCGCATGCTCGTTCGGAGGCTGCGTGCGGAAGCGCGGGAAGGTAAAGAACACTGCCTCCAGGTAGGTGTTGTAAAGACGTGTCACAGCAGCCTTGGTACAAAGGAAGGCAGCCAGCTCCTTCAAAGTCCAAGAGCCTTTGACATTCACCTTCTCACCGGGTATAGAAGGCTGGCCGCAGCCACCAGCGACCCTAAGGTACCGAGCTCCAGCAGGGTCAGGGACCAGTCGCCGCTCAGCAACAGAGAGGAGAAGTGGTGGCGAAAGCTCAGCTTCTCGGACGGGTGCTCCAGAGTGTACACCATCTCCTTGGACTGTCCGGACATGATACCCAGACAGCAATGGCTGCAAGAGGCGGATGATGCAAGAAATTCGGGCCTTGAACCGAAACCGAATGGAGGTTCACCCCCGAAACTAAACAAAATAATGGCCCAAAACCTATAAAGGGCTATGATTCTCCATGCTTTTGAGGTTCAGTCGCACTTCCAGGGCAAGGACTTCTTGAATCTTTGCCCCCTGAACAATCTTTCGGGTTTTGTCATGCTGATGAACGAAATGTGGGGTTAGACGTGCCTACAATTAGGGTAGTTCTCTAAACTAGGGTCCCGTTTTGGGTCCCCGACATAGTACGGCACCCTTACAAAAAGGACCCTAAACGGGATCCTACGTTAGAAAACTACCCATTAGATGACTGTATTGGAGACCCGGGCTTATCCTCTACTGACATGAACCACGACCCTTCTCAAGTAAGTAACCCTACACTCTGTAGGAGGGCTACTGTCCCGAATAAAGCCCTAGTGTCAACAACAACAACCATAAATGGCGGTGTCTTCAAGTTTATGGCGCCTTTTTTCGAGGTCCTTGTAGATAGGGTTGCGCACAGGATCTACATGAGGGGGTCTCATGGTCTGCGACACGTCCCCCGTGGCGCTCCTGTTGCAGAGCGGCGACGCTTTCGCGATGTTGCTGTAGCTGGCCCTGATTTGCGCTTGAGCAAGCTACCCATAGGTCCCATAGTAGTTCCTTTTTGTGGCTTATGTTTAGGATTCTATTAGGGAATCCAAAAAAGGGAGGGGATTACATGGCGAGCGACACGAATGAGACAACGACAACGACTTATCTCAAGTATTATTGTTAATAACATGATGATTTGTCATGAACATTACTATGACATACTAGTATGATTACTATAGTACTAATATTATTCAACTGTTAAGCCGCCCCTCAGACGCTCCCCGTCTAGCCTCCATGCGGGAGCGACCGTCAGACTCGGCCGCCAGCCTCAGTCTCATATGGGGGTTTCCCAAAATAGGGGACCCTAATATAGTACCCCAAATGGTAGGATCCCTATTATAAGGACCCCAAAATAAGGTACCCTAATTTTCTGAAACTCTCATATGGGTAGTGCTCTGAATTAGGGCTTCGTTTAGGGTTATAGGTTTAGAGATCAGGGTTCAGAGCTGAGGGGTTCAAAGTTTAGGGTTTTGGGGGCTATAGAATTCAGGGTTTGGAGTTTAGGGATTCAGAGTTTAGGGTTTAGGGATTATAGAACTTAGGGTTTAAAGTTTAGGGCCTAGAGTTGCGGGTTAACCTTCACTGAAAAAGCCCTGAAACCCTTGCCCTCAGTGTAGTTATAGTTCCTGCCAAGTGGCTCCGACCGCAGCTGCTCTGTAAGCTCGGTTGCATCACGGAGGCGGACCTACAACTGCAAGTTTCGTTCGTCCTGTCTTGGATTTTGGTGGTAGGACTACGGTGTAGGGTTAAATTAGGCTAGACGTTTAGGGTTTCGGGTTTCTGGCCCAAAACCTAGCCCCATAACCCTAACCCCAAACGGCCCTAAACAGAGAAGCCAGCTTAAACTCGAAATCCGCATCCCTAAATCGATGCAACTTTAAGGCCTTTACGGCTGTAAAAAACTCTGAGTACACATCCGACCCAGTCCGAAAAAGCTCACGCCGTCCTAGACCGTAAAATCCTATGCCCGAAGTCCGCAACACTAAGCATGTTCCCCTTAAGCACCAAGGGATGCCTGCATCCTGTCCGAAATACCCTAAACCCTAAACCCTATACCCGAATCGCCCTAGTAAGGTAGCTTGGGTAACCAGCTGCTGAGAGCCGTGTCTTCGACGATGACCCCTGAAGTTTTAGCAGCTTTGGGTTCATTCGGGTTAGGGTTTAGGGTTTAGGGGTTTAGGGGTTTAGGGTTTAGGGTTTAGGCTTTGGGGTTTAGGGTCTTTGGGTTCAGGGTCTCAAGGTTTTGAGCTCTTCGGCTTCGTATCGAGTGTGACGTTCTGAACCCCTATCTAGGTAATTACTTTGGGGCCGAAACCATATGCTACTTGGGTTCATAGACCTTTAAACCCTTATAGGGATTCCGAACCTGGAAAAGAGCCATGAATGAAGCGTTACCCGAACTCCGCCTTGAGCCCGGCTGCCGCCGCGCTTTGACTGCCGGAGTCCGCGGCAGCGACCTCCGCGTGAGCCAGCGACGCCTGCGAGATTTGAGTATCTAGCTGCAAGGCAGGAGTTCCGAACTCAAAGCGTTTTGGGGTGTGAAGGCTCGAGGGTTTTGGAATTACAGTAGGGTTTCGGGTTAGGGTTCAAATTTTCCGAACTTCGCGGCTCTCGCAGGAGTACAACGAGCCCATGCGCCATGCTTCTAACTTACATTGAGGCCTTATGGTTCGCTGAGCCTCGAGCCCACAATGAAGGACGTAGAAGAGAGGGGACTCCTTTCATGGGTTTACGGATGGCCTTCCGGGATTCTCCTCTCATTGGGCTTAGAGTTTCGACCATCTATCTATCTATCTATCTATCTACCTATCTATCTATCTATATGCATCTATCTAGGTGTAGGGCTAACGTATTCCTTTACGGCTTTTTTGTGATTTGTAAGCATCGGTTCTGGCTGTCGAGTTCGCAGGGATCAGCTCGCTGTATCTTGAGGAGTCTTCTTCTTCCAGGCCACCGGGATGATGTCGTGCTAAAGGCTGCTATGGGTTTGGGGTTTTGGGCTTTAGGGTTTAGGGTTTAGGGGTTTAAAGGGTTTAAGGTTTGGGGTTTAGGGTTTGGGGTTTGCTATGCACCCTAGATTAAAGGAAACAACAGGTGGGGAGTTTAGGGTATATAGGGCTTCTATAAGGCTTCTTTATGGTGTATGGACCTTCTATAAGGCTCCTATAAGGGTAACCTAGACGGTTCAGGGTTTCGGGTTTAGGGTCCGTGCAAAAAGCGCTCGCCAACCTGCTACTAGTAAGCTCTGTCTGGGAAACTCCGCGATGAACTACCGATGAACTACCGTGCAACTGTATTTCAGATTGTCGGGTTTAGGGGTTTCGGGTTAAGGGCCAACTAAGCTACGACTAACCCAAACAGTCATGGTCGCTTTGCAGTAATTCTGTCGCCGGCCACAGTCTGACCCCGACATAACATGTTATATGGTTCTATATACCCATCACTACTATCCTTCGAACGGAGTGCCCACATCTCCGTGCCTATAATAACTACATACCCTCTGAATCAACCCGACACCCCAAACCCAAAAAGATCAAAGCTATGACCCCTGAACCCTCAAGACTCCCTAAACCGTGAACCCTAAACCCCACGGTTTAGGGTTTAGGATTTCAGGTTTGACCTAAAACCTAAAATCAAAAACCAAGACCCCAAACCCTAAACTCTAAACCCCTAAACCCCTAAACCCTTAAACCCTACCCGTCGGCCCCATTGTAGGTCCTTCTGGGATTACCAAATAGCATCCTAAATACAAGCCACAAAAAAGCACTACTATGGGGCCTATGGGTAGACTCAACAACCAAAACCCCAAACCCTAAACTCTTAACCCCTAAACCCCTCAACCCTAAACCCCCCAACCCCTAAACCCCAACACCCCTAAACCCCTTAAGCCCCTAAACCCCTACACCCCTAAACTCCTGAAACCCCTTAAACCCCTACACCCCTAAAATCCCTAAACCCCCTAAACCCTAAACCCTAAACCCTAAGTCCCTAAACCCTAAACCCTAACCCCTAAACCCTAAACCCTAAGGACTTTCAGGTTGAGACCTAGCCAGGGCAGGGCACACCACTCCAGCCAC